AATGATGGTGCCAACTTGGGCCAGTGAAGCTACGTCCTCCACAACTAGACTGAAGAACAAAACGACAGCAACTTGTCTGTTCCCCTTTCCGCAATTCCCTAGCACTGTTCCCATCCCCCCAACTCCCCAATAAAAATCTTTAAAAAAAAAAAGAGAGAATGAGATGCTGAGTTGTGACTAGGACAATTCAATCCCAAAGGCAGCCTGGTTTCACTCACCTGTATCGAGGTCCAGACTCCGGGAGAACGCGGTCCTCAGGTCCCGACCCGTTCTCCAGGCTTCCAAGGGGGGCATCTGTGCATAGACAGTGATCGCAGACAGAAAGTCAGGTCCCTGTTTTCATTTCATTCCCTCCAGGAGACAAGGACACCAGGCAGACATGGGCTCATCTGCTAAATCAGTTGACTTAGAAATTTTTTTCCTCCTTGGCACACTGGACTTTTACCTGCTACTCGCTTCGTTTTTTTCCAGCCACAATCTCAGACTTTACATCACAGTCACTGATAGAAGGCCCTATACTCTCACTTAACCTTTTTGACCTTGAGCCACCTAGAATTACCCAGGAAGTCCATATTCAGAGCCAACCTCAGCATCAGGGAATAATAAATAAGTCAGCTTTCTGTTTCACAAAACTGCTCCTGCCTGCAGTGGTGCAGGACGGACACGAGAGGGCAGCACAGTCCAATCGCTCAGTGTCTGCTCAGGTCAAAACAAAGTGACTGTGGTTTTTTTCTAAAAAGCCACTTGCCCTGCATTAAGTGGCATGTGGGAAAGGCCACAGATAATCTCTAGGAACAATAGGCAAGTGGCACTAAAGATTTCCATAAATGCATTAGCTGCTGTTCAAGTCTCTTTCCAGGAAAAACGGCAAATCTTAAGTCCCTTGGGCTAGATGGCGGCATGACAGCCAGTATCACCCAGAACATTTGCTCATTGGAGAAACTTCTGGCTGGTCAACGTCCACCACAGAAGCCAGGCCTGGACTGGGACAGGCACACAGAGATGGGAGGGAGCACATCCGGCTTCCCTGAGCCGTCCGTCACAGTCCGTCACAGCCTCCTCCGTGTCATTCCTTCTGTTGATGCTGGTTTTGTCCTGCTCAAGGCTCCCCAGCTCTTAAGGGGCTGAACTAAGGAAACTCTAAGGGGAGGGGGGGCCCCCAACAAGCTGTTCCACTCACTCCCGCCTCTTTGAAGAAGCTCTAAGGCTAAAGAACCAGTGTCTACCTGGCCTCCCCTTCCTCGCTCCCTAGCATGTGGTTAGTTTAAGGGTGCAGGCTCTGCCCCACTGCCTGGGTTCCAGCGCTGCTTCCCAACTTTAATTCAGCAAGTCACCAAGGCTCTTTGCATCTCGGTCTCCTCATCGATGAAAGGGGATGACACTGGTGCCTACCGTAATGCCGACCACGTAACAAAATTGTGACCCATGTAGAGCTCAGTAAGAGCACTCAGTGAGCAATGGCTAACGTCGACTCGCTCTGTAGCCGAGCCTGCCTACCCGGGCTCTCAACCTCCCAGTCAACTGGAACTGCTCTCAGATGTCCCCAAGGAACTCGGCCCTCGGTCCCCCTCCCCACCTTCCTGCAGCCCATGACAAGGCACTCCTGATTGGAGCTCTCCTTTCTCAGCCTCATAACACTACTCCTGAGGCCTCCTCCTCCACCCCTTCCTCTCTGGTTCCTGAGCGAAGGCGTCCCTGAATCATGACCCCGCAGCCTCTGTTCCCTTGACAAATCTCGGCTCCAGCTTTCACCTCTGTGAAGATGACAACTCTCAAGCCCCCCTCTCTGGCTAAGACCTGAATCGTGAATCCCGGTCCCACATTTCTAACTGTCTGCCAGTAAGCTCTATGGACGGCCTTCAGGACCCACAACTGCTCATGGCCTTCAAACCCACTCCTCTCCTGTCACCACGTCCCCCTGGCAGGAACCTCAGGAGAGCGTGGCACTCACCCTCCCTCCCACCACAGAGCCTCGTGGTGCCCAGGACCTGCCAGTTCCACCTACTTGTCGCCCATTCCTTGCTCACAAGCTGTTCCACTGCCACCCTAGTTCAAAGGCTCGAGGTCTTCCAGGGGTCTCCTGCAGTAGGTCCCTCAGTTGTGTCCCACCCTCTATAATCGGTCACACACAGCCGTCAGACCGAACTCCCTGAAGCAGAAGGGGACTCCAACATACACATGGAAACCCATGCGGAGTAAAGACCCACATCACCCACCAGCATCCCAGACGCAGCGCCTACTCGGCCGAAGTGGATTTCCCATCATAATACACGACCGCGACAGCTGACAGCTGTACTGAGGCACCAGGGCCACACAGCCATCACAGGGACACAGGCTGTTTCCCTCATCCTCCAGGCCGCCGCCCCCCCCCCCAGGCGAGTGCTGCTATTACCTTAATCTTACAGATAAGGAAATGGACCTCGAGGGTTTCAGTGACGTGTCCAAGACCACACAGCTGAAGCGCGAGGGTTTGCACCTGGGTCTGGCCAGCGGCAGAGCTGAGCCCTTGCCCACTTCAGAGCCTCTCATTCAGCTGATCCAAGATGCCTGCTTTTCCCTCGGGCCCTGTCTAGTCTTTTGTCCACATTGTGTCCCCAGTCAGGTATCATTTCTCCACTCCCACAGCATGCCCACGTCCCCATCTACCGCCTCTGTTCACTCACGCTCAGCAAAGACTTCCTGAGCCCCAGCTGTGGACCTGGCTCCGGCCAGGGTCAGGGTCAGGGTCACACTGGAATCGAGACACACACAGTCTTGCTCTCATGAGCAAGGCTAATGGAGCACGGGGGAGGTATTAACAAGGAACTACACAAACACACGATCACAAACTGAGGTCAGAGCAATGGAGACACGCGGGGTTGACAACCGCATGACACATGAGGCCTGGCCTGCCTGGGGACGGGGCAGGGTGTGGCATCAGGCCACGACCTCAGTAGAGGAAGGAAGACAGGAGGAGCATGAGGAGAGAGATGATGGTGGGCTCGGCGTGAGGAAGTAGGGGTGGCTGGGGACACCGAGCAAAAGGGAAACGGGAGGACCTGAGGCTGCTGGGGCGAGCTGGGGCCGGGGTGGCCACACGGAACTTTCTGGATTTTATCCCGCGTGAGGTTGAAGGGTTCGGAGCCCGGGAATGAGTCAATCTGACTGACGTACGTTCCAAAAAATCACTCTGGCTGCTAAAAGAAGAATGGATGGGGCGGGGGCAGGGGTGGAAGTGGAGAGCCCATTGAGATAAGGCTGAACAGGGTGGTGAAAGCATTCAGGGCACACACTCGACCGCTCTTACCTTTCTCCTTCACATCAGGTGATTCGATGGTGTCCCTGTCCCCTCCTTGCATGCAGAGCTCCAGGGGGGATTTGCCCTTGGATCCCCCAGAGCTTGGAATGGTGCTGACCCAGAGCAGGGTCATCCACTGAATGAGCAACAAAAACCACGCACACAACCCACGTACACGGGGGAGAAGCCACACGGCGCAGGCCCTGCGGCCGCCGCAAGCTTCGTGACAGTCCAACCAGTAAAATCAGTCCATGGAAGCCAAGCTCTGACATGAGCCCCCTCAGGTGAGAGCAGCACAACCACAGACCTCACTCTCAACAAGCAACTGGGAAGACCCCCCAACGGCAGGACGAGAAGATGAAGAACGTCAGACCTGGGGTGGGTAGGGGGGCTGGGGTTTCAAGGGAACGGCGGCCTCAGGACATTGCCCTGCACTTGCTAAACCCCACAGTGAAGGCAGGCCCCGCAGTGCGGGCAGGGGCAGTACCGGTTTCACACGTGCACTGTGTCACAGGTGCTTGGTTCACTCCCCTTCTTATTCTCAGTTGGAAAGGACGTGGGGGGCGCTCTCTCCCTTGCAGCCTCAAAGAGACGTTGGTAAAGGTGCTTTGCTCTCTTGCAGGTAATAGACATGCCTGGAGGAATGACTATATCCAATCCTCCATCTGCGTGTCTGGGCCTCGTGGGACCATCAGCAGGCATCTCCCCTCACCGAGCCCCTCCCTAACCCCAGCCATGCAGCCCAAAGCACCGCCCCCTGACCCACAGAGCCACCTCTTCCAAGATTCCAGAAAGATAATAATTCTGCGTTCAGGGCCCCTTCTCTGCTGCTTTCTCCCTCCCAAGATCTGGTCACCAAAACAGGCCAGGGAAGGGCCCCCCTGCAGGCAGGCTGGTCTCAGCACCACCTGGGCCACATGCCTCCCATGGAAACGGGGACTCAGGCCAGGAGGGACTTGATGCAGTTTGGCATTCTAATCAGGCAACAGATCTCCCCGCTCTGATTCTAGTGTCTTCATGCAGCCCTAAAATCATCTGCCTCACCAGGCAATGCTCCTACCCACGCGAGTTGGGCCCTCAGGCTGTCACCAGCTTCCAAGACTCCTGCCAGCTTTGTAACTGTAGTAAATAAAAAAGTTGGCAGCATCTCTGGAAGGGTAAACGAGATAAGCTGGAGCTCAGGTCCCATCAACAGTGACTGGGTGGAGCCTCTGGGTCTGTGAGGCCAACAGGCAGAGGTGGGACATTGGGAAAACTGATGGATGTCTTCTCTCCAGGACCTCGGAAGCTGCCAGAAGCTATTTCTCTGGAGACACTGGTCTACAGAAAGCCCAGAAAGGGTGGAAGAGTGGCAGGTTTTGTAAGACTAAACCCCAAGTAATTAGCAAATAGCATTTTGGAGCAGCCAGCCATCTTCCCTGAGCATCTGATGGTTACAGGAGCCCAGGTAAGAAATAAAAAAGCCACTAGAAATGAAACAGACTGTGCAGTGCACACGCCTAACAGCCCAGCGATACTTCACAACCCAACTGAACAATCCCTCCAGTGGATCACGACTTGGAAGCCACAAACAAAAACGTTAGAATGTGGTCCTGGACACACATTAGGACCACCTGCTCTCTGCAGCCCCCCCACCCCACCCCACCCCCGACTCCCACACCCCCCCGACATTCTGCTGCGTCTGCACTGCCACTGAATGGGCAGTGGACTCCGACCAAGGGCAGTCACTGAGCGGAAGGAGCTAAGTGCTGGCCTGGCTCAGACACGAGCAAGGCCCGCCGGACCGCCCTTCAGGATGTCAGCGGAGACCGAGAGAAGCGCGGGCTGGGACGGAAGGTCACAGGCTCAGACAATGACGTTGGCACCGCGGCCAAGTACAGGCCAAAGGGGAGGGGCTGAGGATGATGAGGGAGCAGAGATGGACCCGGAGAGAGAGGAGGCGGGGGCAGATCCCCATAAGGAAGTGTGGGGCGCACAGCAAGAAAGACGGCAGGACCTCGCCGGCAGAGAGTCCTCCCCGTCCCAAGTCCAGCTCCCACGCCCACCACAGAGGCTGCCCACAAAATGTCCTGTCACGTCGCCACTGCAGTGGGCAGTGAGCGTTCATGGGCCTTAGCGTGTGCCTGGCATCCTTTCCCACAGCAACTTAGGGAATGCTCGCCACAGATCTGAGAGGAAGGTGATATAATAATGCCCACCCCTTCCTCCCAGGCCGTGGTGAAGCGTGAATGAGTGAGTTTACAGCCGATCCTCTTACAGTCCTGCACTCAGTGTTGGCCATCACTGTCCCCGTCATGCACTTTCCTGAAGAGCACACTAGCCTGGCAGACATAAGTCACTCAGCCACGCACCCTCGTTTGCCTCCGTGCACAGGAGGAACACCCTGCTCAGAACAGTAGCCTGCCCCGGCCCCCCGCCACTTCCTAGAGCTGGTTCTAACCTGGCCTCCTCCCACCCCCGCCACCCCTGCTCTGGATGGCTGCCAGTCAACGGCCCCCGCCCACCTCTGCACCTGAGTTAGTTTGAGTGGATTTCTGCTCCCTGCCCAGCGACAAGAACAACAGTCTATCATCCGGTTCAGAATGTCAACAGTGGGCCCCCATCTCAGTTTCTTAAACCTGGCCCTGGGAAGATAAGAAGGACACTTATGGGGTTGAGAGACGGGGGGCAGGAGGAGACGGAGGCCTCGCTGACCCAGATGGCAGCCAAGCACTTCCCTGTGCCAGGCAGAGTCGGCTGCACTGCACACCCTCCCCTCTGGGCGAGCTGGGCTCATCCACGTGCCACCCGCACCCCACCCCCGTGCTCCCCGTGACCTGTTATAGCCAAAGAAGACAATAACAAACCACACACAGGTCTGCTGGGCAGCACAGAGCGGTCAGAACCACAGGCAGGTTCTAAGCAAGCTGCTCCCTGCTCCACAAGCACTTGGCTGCAAAGGGTGCCAGGGCCTTTAGAGCCCCAGGCTCTGTCACCTCCCTTCTCCTAATTGGCAAAAATACTGGTCACCACTTGTGGTCAGCTTATACATGACCAAGTTCTACAAATCACTGGCAAGAAAAGAAAAACAGGCCTGAGGGCGCTCTGGTGACTTGCCAACCCACTCTGCCCAAAACTTACTCAGGAGAGGGCACCTCAAAACAACCAGGTTCAGCAGGAAGTGACTCCTACTCTCAACAGGCCCCTCCTGCCCGGAGGCCCGTGCCAACTTGCTCTGCTCCTACTAGCAGAGGTGACCCAGACGCCCCTGCGGGCTCTCCGAGAGGGAAAAAGCAGTCAGGAAACACCCACCTGCAGGGCTGTAGGAGCCCACGCTGCTGACGGGAAACAGGACATCCGCATCACCGTGAAGCACCTGCAGCGGGGCCCAGCTGTGCCTCTGGGACAGGCAGGTGTTCCCGTCCAGTGACCTACAGCGAAAGAATACAGCTGTGTGACAGGGTGCAGGGCCCCCGAGGGCTCAGGTCCCCACAAGCCTCTCGGCTGGGCCTCTCACAAGTTCCTTCTTGGGGACTAACCAGGCTACCATGGGGCTGAGCACAGCAGGAGTCACAGAAGGGAGTCGGGGGGCATGGAGTCCGGAGCCAGACCGCTCGCATTTGTTCCTTCCACCAGTGTTTACTGAGCACCTACTATACGCCAGGCAGCGTGCAGTGCAGACCTCGTGTGCTGGCCGAGGAGCCAGCACCTGGTGTTCATCCTGCCCTCGTGGCGCTTACAGTCTAGTGGGGGGCACAGACATAAATCAAATAATCCCCCCAGAAGGTGTACAACGGCAGCTCGGATTCGCGGAGCTGGTCAGGGAGGTCGTGGAAGCCGCCATGGAAGAAGGGAGGTTTGAGGTGAGAGGTGAAGGGAGCGCAAGAGTTACCTGAGTGAAGAGGAAGGACAAAGAGGGGGACTGGACGGGAGGGGACAGCATGTGCAAAGTGCTGCAGCGGGGGGAAGCACGGTCTATTCCAGGTTCCGAAACGAGGGCAGCCCCGTGACCTAGGGCTGTGTCATTTCACCTTGCTGGTTCTCAAACCCTCCTGGGTGACAGGGCAGCATCAGACCAGATCACATCTGGGTCCCTTCCAAGAAAGCAGGTCAGCTCAAATATTAACCAGGTTCATATGATCTGTTATACTGTCACTTTCTCCACAAAGGACACACTAACCTGTACGATCTTTATAATGATGGCTGATTCAGCTAAATTAGTTTGACACAGTATTTGCACACTGGAGCATATGCCTCTTGGCAACTGGGAAACATTAATAAACACCAGGATACATTTGTGCATTTAAAGTCTATAAAATCGCTTTGTAAGTTGATTGTAAAGACCAGAGCAGATCATAATCACACCTCCCTAACAGAGGAAGGGAGGGGGAGGAGGAAAAAGGGGAAAGGGAGCAGGAGGGACAGAGAGAGGGGAGGGAAGGTGGAAGGGGCAAAACAAAGAAAGAAGGGAGGGAGAGAGGAGAAACAAAAATCTCAGAGATAGAGTTTTCCTTTCCTTTAGAGCAGGGGTCAACAAACTTTTCTGTAAAGGACCAGATAGCAAATATTTTAGGCTTTGTGGCCATACAGATCCTTTTTTATTAACAACCCTTTAAAATGTAACAACCATTCTTAGCTTGGGGGTGGATGTGACCCGCAGGCGTAGTTGGGCACCTCCTCTCTCAGAGCCCATCATGTAGAGATTCTGCTTTCAGCCTCTCTAGCTTTTAGTCATACACTTGGCACTGAGCAACTTTCCAGAATTTTAGGAAATGTTATCATCTAACCCTACAGGTAACACACACGACGAGACCCTCAGATGGCAAACTGGGGCGCAAAAGAGGAAGCCCCATTCTTAGATGAACCTGGCTACACCCTCTAGAATTTGCACAGACTCCCCTTCCCGAGGCTCCGATCCAGCAGCTGATGACCAAGGGGATCTCCGGATGCGCTCAGGAGACGGCAGCAAAACCACCAGTCCTCTCCCCGCCATTGCACTGGCTCCAGATGGGTGGATGATCTGCCCCAATTTCTGAGGGGAAATCCTGCCACTTTCCAGCAATACACGCAGAACGCAAGGTGAAGCCAGGCCCCGGCAGCTGGGGTTTGGAGCCCAAGTAAAAGTGGCCAAGAGCCACCACCTCAAAAATGACTTACACCAACGTGATTCCTGAGGCAGAGGCCAATTCAGAACATGATGCCACCACTGGCTTAAAAACATTCATTAGAAAAATAAGACATTTACTGGAAGACCTAGAAAATGCCAAAAAGAGGAGGAAAAATTACACCCAACGCCACATGACCCAAAACACACTGAGTCAGGCACTATTTCTTATCTTTTTTTCTTTCTATCTACACACACTGATATCACAATGATACTCCACGCAGGATCTTATATTTGGCTTTTTCATTCACTATTCATTTACAAGCTTGTCTTCATACTTGAAGAGAGCTTGGACACTCTTAAACTCATTTAAAAGGTTGAAGATCCTAAATGTTAAGGTGCTAAGGTTTAAACCCCGCAATACTCTGCTGCTAGCTGTCCTCTGTGGCTGCACATGGAGCTCCATCCAGCGTTTTGCTGCTCTAAAGGACTTCGGTACCCGGATGCAGCAACCTTTTTCCTGAGACTCTGCCCTCAGGGAAGATCCCTAGAGATTCCCCAGCAGTGGAATTGCTAAATCGAGTGAGATAGACATTTTTAGGGTTCCTGGCATTGTATCAAATCATTTCCCGGAGGGCTGTCAACACTACCAGCTATCTGTGCGCCTGTGCACCCCTGTGCGCCTACTGTGTGCCTGGGAGACACCCAGTCTGAGGACATACTGAGAGCAAGCTGCTCCCGGGGCACTAACCCAGGGTTCCCTGTTTGTGCAGCTCTCACTTTACACCTTGACAAATACGATGCGCATACCATGGTACCTGGTTTCACTTTGCATCTGCTTCTTTGCTAGGGAGGCACAACATTTCCCCTGCGTTTGTAATTCTTTTCAAATTATGTTTTCGCCCCACTTTCCTATTGGTGTCACAGGACACATAAGAAGTGATAGAAAAACTCCTTTTGATAAGAAAGATATTATCCTCTTTTAAGGAAAGAGACAAAAAGCGAAGCCAACACTTATAAGTACTGAGGCAGGAGAGACACGACTTTCCTGTCATCATAGAAGTGGTTTACTTGCTAGCAAACAGGCATAAAAACCCAACTCTGGGCCAACAGAGCACCTGAGGCCATCAGAGCACTGGCTTTGCCAGAGGCTCCCGCCGTCCGCCTGCTCCTCCTGGCCTGGCCGCGTCCCCCTCACACACCTCGCTGCTGTTAAAATCGCTCAAGCTTTGGCCCCTTCAGGCTCTGAGACCCTTCACATGAACATTAGCTTAGAATCAAAAGCAAAGTATTACTTGGTAGGCCACCTCATCATTCCTCTGTTCATTCCCCAAGAGGCTCTGCGGAAGCTTCGCTCAAGACCCCCCTTTACGCCAGGTGAGGCTATCCGTCATCTGCAGGAGGCTGATGGCCTCGAAGGGCCCGGCCTCTGTGAAGGTCACCCTGCACTGTTTGGTGGTTTGCACATCACAATGCAGGCAGCTACCCTGGCTGGCAAGCTGACCTCCCCTCAATGGCACCAGTCTAGAAGGAGGAGAAATGGCTGTGTGAGGCACCCCCCCAAAAAAAACCCACAAAGTGAATCAACCCAGAGTTGCACTCACCTACACAGACACAGAATGCAAGTGGCATTTCCTAAAAGGCCCAGATTAAGAACAAAAGGCAGATGTGATGGTTCATTTTCAGGGTCAACTTGGCTAAACCACAGTAGCCAGATATATGAATGAGAAGTCCCTGGGGAGGTATTTTTTAGATATGATTAACATTCAAACCAGTAGACCTTGAGCAAAGCAGGTTACCCTCCATATTTAGGTGGGCCTCATCCAATCAGTTGAAGGCCTTAATGGAAAAAGACTGATGTTCCCCAAAGAAGAAGAAATTCTGCCAGCAGACTGCTTAGGATTCGCACTGCAACTCTTCCCTGGGTCTCCAGCCTGCAGCCTACTCTGCAGATTCTGGACTTCCCAAGCTTCCACAATCATGTGAGCCAATTCCTTAAAATAAATCTAGATAGATAGATCAATCGATCAATTGATCGATTGACTGATAGATAGACAGACACACATCCTATTGGTTATGTTTCTCTGGAGAACCCTGACTAACACAGCACGTCACAAGACCTGGGTCCCAGAAACAAAAAAAAGTCACAGCCTGTGAGCAAAAACAATGTTACAGGGAAGCTACCCTCACAAATACTTCGGGAGAAGAAAAAAGTCTCATGCATGACAATGTTCATTTCAGGATGGCTGACAACAAAAAAGCAAAAACAATCAAAAATGCCAACAACCTAAATGCTCAACAATGGGGGAGCCTTTAGCAAATCATGACTTATCGATCAACCAATCGATAGTGATAGCTATGTAGAAACAAGGAAAACATCTGACAGTGGGAGCTTTGGAGTACAGCATAACCTGGCCTGCACCCCAGCTTTGCCCATCGCTTTGACAAATCTCAACTCTCTATGGAATCCCATTCTTTCCTGTTGTGTGGGGGGTGATCCCCACTAGCCTAAAGATTAGGAGAAGGTACACAGCTTGCAGCATCAGGTATATCACTGATGATCAAGGTAATGCTACTAATATGGGTATCCACGTGAATGAGGACCAGGGGAAAAAAAACAAAAACAAAAACAGGCATGGTCTCCTGAGAAATAATTAAAAGAACTCCTATTAAAACAACGTGAAAATGAAAAGCTTAGGGCTAGGGACACACCGTACCCCTCACTCACACTATGCAATCTCCATACCTTCACTGTATACTCTCCTGGGCGGGGTCTGACATCACCCATGATTAGGATGGCAATGGTGTACCAGAAAGGCCGGGCAAAGAGGTAACTAGTTTATTTGACATGAAGACTAAAACCAAGCTTGGGAATTATTACAAGAGAAGCATGACAGCAGCAGCTGACCTCTGCTGTCTTTCATGATGTGCCAGCACCCGTGCCAACAGGCCCACACACAGTATCCCATTAACTCGACAACAACCCTACAAAGCAGGTACTGTTTTGCTCCCAGGGCCCAGATGAGGCCTGAGGCTGTGGGAGGTGAGGTGACTTGTCTAGCCTAGTCCAGCCTAAGCCATGGAACTAGTGAATGAGAACCCACGTTGCCTTGATTCCAAGATCCAAGCTCTTAACTATGGTGTTTCCCCAAAAATAAGACCTAGCCAGAGAAGAAGCCCTAGCATGATTCCTCCAGGATATGGAGGGCACGCACCCCTCACATGAGGGTTTTATGACCTATTTCAGGGAGAAGGGTGACTTTTCCACAAACTCCTTCAGCTCAAACTATTCAGTATGCCAAGGTGCCACGTTTTGGCACCTACAATCAGGCTGCGGCTTATTTTCTGGCTGGGTCTTGTTTTCGGGAACACGGTATGCTTTCCTGCTTCGTGCCTTCATGTGCGTCAAGCCCCTCCCTCAGGTATAAGTCTATAGCAACTCCAGTGGGCAAGCAGCAAATGCCGGCCAATGACTGCTGTGCACACCCCTGCAGACACACACAGAAGTCACCAGCCCACGGCTGTCCTCTAACCCGGCCTTTCTCCTGAGCGTCCTAATGCTAGTGGCGAGATAAGCCATGGGAGGAAAGGCCAGGAAACGAAAACAAAAGACGTGTACATAAAGCAAAAATGTCCAGACACACACCTCGACCCTAATTCTGTAATAAGCACCTTCAACTATGCTCCCTTCCTCTCTCTCAGTTCTCAGCACGTTATAACGCTCCTCCCCCCTAAATCAAGATCTGAAAAACGAACGATGCCCTAAACAAACGTAAAGCTTGCACCTTTATTTCACCCAACACTGCGGAAAGCGGGAGCAGGTAACGTACCGCCCTTCGTTAAAAGCCCAAGTGGAACTTACTTCTCAGGTGACTCCGTGGGGCCTGGGTGCTTCCTTCCCGCCGTGTTCCCGTACACGTCATCCCCGTTTTCATCCACATCGTCATCGTCAATGCTCTTCACATCCAGCTTCTGGTACCCAAACTCCCCGTTCAAAGACAGAGAATCAATTTTCCATGAGTTGCTGCTCTGACTTCCATTGGAATTTGGCCCAAAGGAGCTTTCAAAGGCCGACAAGATATTGACCGAGGAGCGGTCGGAGTTCTCCTCTGAGCTCTCCCCGGCCCCAGGTATCTTTCTAAAAACATCACCAGAGTTCTGCTCATCTTCCTCGTCGTCAAATGAGATGATGTTGGTCACCTTCTTTTTCTTCTTCCGCTCCTTTTTACATTTGGCATCTGGCAAAAGAGAAGACGCGGCGTAAGAAAAAGTAGACAAGATAAAGGGATGACCTTGACTCCAGTTAAGCGACTTCTACGGCTCTACTGAAAAATAAATTGTAAGATAAACTCAGGTATTTTTTTAAATCCTTGGGGAAAACATCTGTTTAAAGGAGATTGAGCAAAATAGATGTGGGCCTCTACTTATTTAAACAAGTTTTGGATATGTCTCCTCAGGCAAGGGGAAAAAAGAAAAAATAAACAAATGAAACTATAGTAAATTAAAAGGTTCTGGGGCAGCAAAGGAAGCCATCCACAAAATGAAAAGACAGCCTACTGAATAGGAGAAGATATTCACCAATGATCCATCCAGTAAGGGGTTAACATCCAAAATATGTAAACAACTCATACAACTTAACACCAAATAAACAATCTGATTAAAAAATGGGCAGAGGACCTGAAGAGGCATTTCTCCAAAGAGGACGTACAGATGGCCAACAGATATGAAAAGACGTCATAAAAATGGTCATGACAACAGTATGGTGGTTACCAGAGAGAAACGGGGGTGGAAGGAGGGTGAAGAGGGTACAGGGTGGTCAAATATATGGTGACAGAAGACTAGACTTTGGGTCGTGAGCACACAATGCAACATACAGATGAGGTATTATAGAACACCTGTACACTTGAAACTTATATAATAAATGTTACCCCAAAAAATTTAATTGAAACAAAATAATCATAGGGATGTAAAGTACAGCAATAGGAAATACAAGTATAGTCAACAGTACTGTCATAACTATGTATGGTATCAGATGGGTACTAGATTTACCAGGGTGATGACTTCATAAGTTATATAAATGTCTAGTCGCTATTTTTTTTTGTATACCTGAAACTAATATGATATTGAATGTCAACTGTAATTGAAAAATACATTTAAAAAATAAATAATAGTTTTTTAAACTACACTACAGAGCATACGGTAAAATTCTGCCTTCTAAGCAGTCCTTCTTTGATTTACAGGATGTTATCATTCTTGAAATGATTTCATTGCTTCATTTTGGAAAAAACTCTCCTGGTTGGTAGATGAGACCAAGAAAACCAGTTTGAGATGGTAGTCAATGGTTCGATGGCACATTCCGGATGTCCCAGAAGGCTCAAGGCGTATTATAAACGTGTCACAAAATTAATCTTCATTCATCCATCCATCCATCCCTTCCCCTGGCTTGCACTTACAAGTCCTCTCCCCAACAAACAAGCCCAATAGTGTACGCTCTCCACACACCCTATTTATCAGAAGGTAGTTAATTACTTGTATATGTGTCACTAAACTCCTACTCCATTCCAAAGGAGACGGAAGGCTAAGTGCTGGTGATCTGTCTTCCTTGGCTCACTCACTGCCTAGCACACAGGATGCATTCAGTGAACAAATGAATGAATGGACAAAGGAATAAATGAGTGAAGATCAAACTCCTCTGGCTTCACGTGGCTATCATACCCTCCTTTGCTCTGGCCTGTTTGCTCTTTTTCCCTATCATCTTCCCATCGAGGTAAGGCTCTCAGATCACTTCCGGAGTGAATAAGGGTAAGAAAAATAAACACAAACGTGAACTGAACATGCAAGTGCATCAGATTTCATCCCCCTCGGCACTTTTCGTCCTTTTACCCTACGACGTGCTCGGCTCTACCTGGGGCGCCTGTCCCCACTCACCGACGCTGCCGTGCTTGGACACGACGGGCAGGGGGTCGCTCTCCTGCTCAGGTCTGATGAGGATGGAGACCGCCGAGGACGCCGTGATCTCCCTGAACAGGCTGCTCACTCCTTGCGTGGACTCCTTCAGCAGTGAGGTCACGTTCTGCGTGGACTCCTTCAAGAGGTCCGAGACGGTGGGAGCATACTTACTCTGCCCGTTTAAGTCCTTGTTGTCGATGTTGATTGCAAAGAGGATGGAGTTCAGCCCTGCCCCCAAAAGAGAGGGGTCTGGAGTGTGTGCTGCTTGAACAGTCACACCCCCAATGCGACGGACAAGGCGCAGACATCACAGCACACAGGCCGGTGCGCACTGGTCTTAAACGCTGAGGAAGCCTCCCGTAACTGGGGGTCGGCAGACACCAGCAACCACAGGGGCCGAGTCTTTACAAATTCCCTTGCTATCTGTCAGGAGGGAGGTGGAGGAGTAAACTCTGGGGTCAGACTGCCTGGGTTGGATCCCAGCACGGCCACTTACGAGCTCTGGGACCTTGGTCATGCCATTTACAACCTCTCTGAGCTTCAGTTTCCTCATCTGTAAAATGGGGACACCGTGTCCCCATTTAATACTTTCCCAGGGTAAGTATTAAACACACTCACTAAGCAAACAATCCCAAAATGCACAGCAGTGTCATTATCGTTATTACGTTAGGCAAAAACGTGCACTGGTATCCTAGGGCTGACAGAGGGAGTCATGGCTGAGCCTGGCCCTGCCTCGTCAATCAACTAGACTAACGTAGCTCTCGGTATGTAGGACTCAGCACACACTTTCAGGAAAGGAAAAAAAAAAAAGGAGGCAACAAGCAACCTGGAAGAAAGAAGCAAGTGGCCCACTTCTGTCTCACCCTTTGAGTGAGAGTCAAATGACAAACAACTGAACAATTCACCAACTAACAGCATTCCAAGGCTTCGCGCTGACAAATGGTGTACATCTGATTCTCTCCCAGCCCCGTAAAGGGGACTGCAATGCTATCAGGGTTCCCACCTCGCAGAGGAGGAAAGTAGGAATCACAGCGCTCACTAGATCTGCCCCAGGTCACCAGCCAGGAAGGCGCAGAGCTAGGCCTCACCTCCGGCTCCCTGGGTCTTTATATTCCACCTGCAAAGCCACAGCCAAACCCCCTCAAGCCCATGCTTTCCCTGCCAGAGTATCAAATTCTAGATAAATGGGCTCAATGCTCAATGCCACTCAAGGAAGGACAGTGGCAAGTGACTCATAAAGTCAGTGAGGGACAGGGAAAATCATAGCATCCCTTGGAGTTATACATTCTCTCCCAAGCATTCTCCTCCGCTCAGCAGGCTCCACAGGGCCCATCACCCCTGGCCCTGACCAGACTTACCAGCTGCCATGGTAGGAAGCATGCTAGACCTTTCTTCATCCATCACAAAAGACCAGTCTTCATAAAAAGTGCTGCAAATTCAAAGAGAAAGGGAAACGGCTCTGAATAGTGGTTTTCTGCGTCCGTTAGCCAGACAATTCCATTACGTGGCTTCCTGGAAAATCCGTGCCTGGTTATCCCAGAGTGGATATAGGAGGCCTCTGTGGAGCTGAAGCTGCTGTTATAATGGAAGGACTGACTGCACATATCTTACGACTTCCTCATTGGTCCCCTGACATCTTTAGAGTCGCCTAAGCTTGAAAGTACTGAAATAGGCACGAGATGTAAATGTGGTGTTTATGAAGCAGCAAAGCAGAAACGGACAGAGGGGTGACTTCCATTTAGGCAAAGTCTCCAAGAGGCAGGCAGGAATCCAAACTGGCCCACAGGACCCTTCTGACTGAGCTAACACAAGAAGAGAGCATTTCAGCAATTACAGAGCTCCATGGCTCCATCAGCCGGGGCATTTGTAAAGAATACCTGCTTGGGCTGCAGACCCAAAAGCCCACTTTATCCTGGGAAGGGCTAGAAAGCTAAAAAGGCCCCACACATATAAACAGCAGTTGGGGGCAGGGGGGGCAGAGAGGCCTACAGGGTCTATCCAAGTTCAAGTGCCGATAAATGGTACAGCCAGGAGTCAAAAGCCAGTCTCCTGGTCCAAGTCCCAGGCTAAACAGTAATTCAGCCCCCTGCTAAACAGTAACAAGCAAATATCCTCAGCCCCCTGACTGCCCCACCAGGTCAGAGAACTCTAAATTAATGGAGCCAAAGTTCAATGTCACTAAAGCACAGTCCGCGATGAGTGACCTATAGTTCGGCCCAGAGACTGCACACATTAGCTGCTGAAGTGACTGAAAACAACGAACAGAAAGAGAAATGAGACGCATCTTTTTCAATACACCTACCCAGCAGAATGTCAGTGGAAGCACAAACCACATGTTCAGGCTGGCCTGGCAACTGTCCCTCTGAGTCCCCAAATTGTGATTCTTTAAAAATCTGAGCCAGTTTTCATGCATTTAAATGTATCTATTTTTCCCACATGGAGATCGATAAGTGGTTAGTGATTCAGGTAAGTTCAACTGTGATTCTTAACAGCAGGATTCACTTCAACTCCTCGTATTAAATTCAACTTTGATGTTGAGTGTACAACTCGGAACTACTTACAAATGATCTGCTGGAAAGAACGTAATGAAAATTCACTATAAGGAGCCTAAGTATGTTCTCCTTAACTAACGCTGGTTAATGCTCAGGAAGCACAGACAGACATTGGCAGCCTCCCGACTCTAAAGAGCACACAGGTGCAGCCAGCCCCAGTCATCCAGGACCCCGTCGCTCCCATTTCAGACCCACGGAGTCTGAGCACACAACTGAACAAAGCACCACAGGCTACATCAATGCGAGAGTTTGAAGGGTATTTGTAAGAGACCTACCGCGTGATCCCAGGACACATAACAAATGACTGGTAGAGAGGTGACCACAAGGGCCGGCACAAAACAGAACAGGAAAGTTGAGCCAAGGAACGCACAGCAAGATATGAAATCACAGGACTGTATCATGGCACTGATGAAATCCTAGATCATTGAATTGAATGAAAATTCACTGCTGAGGATCTGGGCCCTGCTGATGTGGAAGTTATTCAAGGGACCGGGGCAGCACTGGTCACTGTCCCTCTGTATCATCAGGTGACACAAAACTACGTGTCTGGTCCACCATTCACAGAGGGAAAATTAAAGCCAAAGAGAGACAGAGAGAGAGGGACCGAGACATCATAAACATCATGAATACAGGAAAAACGGCAGGATTGTCGTTTCTGAAGGGAACGTGGCTAATTACTATCGCTGAGGCACATGTAGTGCCCTCCCCCCATCGCTGTGGCAGAACTATACCTCCCCACCTGCTGGGCCTGCCTGTGGCCGTGTGACTTGCTGGCCAATGAAATGTGAAAGGAGATTAAGTATTACTTCCGGCAGGAGCTTTAAGAGCCAGTGCTTAATTCAACCGAAGCATTCCATCTCTATCTCCATGGAGATAGAGCCTCCATCTGCCTGGGTCCCTGAGATGAGAACCCTACTCACCCACGATAGACATGAAACAGGGGGAAGAAATACACTTGGCTGTCTCGAGACACTGAAGGTTTCATGATGTGTGTTATGGAGGCATAACCTGGCCAATACTACCCGACAGAGTGAACTTAATGGCTTTGATCAAGATAAAAAGAAAGCAGGGGCCGGCTGAGTGACGCGTTGGTTAAGAGCTGGCTTGGGACGCCAGCTCTGAGCAGCAGGGCCCCGGTTCGGATCCCACATGAGGGCCAGCGATGCTGCGCCCTCTACAGCTAAGATGGTGAACAACAGCTCAACCTGGAGCTGGGCTGCCATGAATCGCCAGCAACAACATAGGCTGCAGCCCCTGCTGCAGTGGGCTGCCATGAGCTACCACGTGTTGCTGGCAGCCAGCGTAAGCAGCTGGCAGCCGGTGTGAGCTGTGAGTGGCTGTCCAGAAGCCAGCGACCGATCTGCCTCACCCAGGAAGAGTGCAATGGTAGTACCAACATGGGCCAGTGAAGCGACATCCTCCATAACTAGACTGAAGAACAAAATGTCAGCAACTTGTCTATTCCCCTTCCCCCGATTCCCCAGCTCTGTTCCCCTCCCCCAATTCCCCAATAAAATCTTTAAAAAGAAAAAAAGAAAGCATAACAAAATGGGGAGTTGTTTCTTTTTAAAAAAAAAAGATTTTTTTATTGGGGAATTGGGGGAAGGGAAACAGACAAGTTGCTGTCCTTTTGTTCTTCAGTCTAGTTGTGGAGGACGTTGCTTCACTGGCCCAAGTTGGCACCATCATTGCACTCTTCTTGGGTAAGGCAGATCAGTCGCCGGCTTCTGGATGGCCGCTCACGGTGGCTGCTGGCCTCTCACGGTGGCTGCTGACTGCACACGGTAGCCCATGGCAACCCACTGCCACAGGGGCTGCAGCCTACGCCGTCGCCGGCGACTCACAGCAGGCCAGCTCCAGGTTGAGCTGTTGTTCAGCATCTTAGCTGTGGAGGGCAGTGTCACTGGCCTCATATGTGGGATCCGAACAGGGGCCCTCTGGCGTCCCAAGCCAGCTCTTAACCAACACGCCACTCGGCCCGCCCGGGAGTTGTTTCTTAATACAAACTTAAAACTTCCATATGCTTTCAGTTAGTCTGATATTAACCTCAGAAAAAGAGAGAAAGAGTTGTATAGAGCCCAGCACACCAGGAAAAACAAAACATGAAACTGGGTACTAAACACCCAACATCTAAACAGAAAGAAATTGTGAATCTGACAGAAGCTCAAATTAAAGCTCCATGAAGCAAAGAGCAGGCTGCGTCCCGCCAATAGCTCTCTCCGCACCCCCAGCCCTAATACTAATAAGCATTTATTGAGTGCTTGCTGTATGCAGGTGTCACACTGAGCCCTTCACAGGCCTTCTCTCACTTATTCTCCGAACCAACTGCCCCCCGCAGCACAGCGGCACAAGAGGGGAACCCAGGTGCCCTAGATGGCGGGACTGGGCTGCCCATCCAGGCTTCTGACTCCGATTCGGTGATGGTAGCCGCTGGCCCACAGCCCCGCCCACACCCTGTCCGGGGACCCACAGGCTGGTACCTGAGCCTGCCACGGTCTGCCAGCAGCATGTGCAGGTAGCGCTCCAGCGAGTGCTCGTTGAGGGCGCAGCGCAGCCAGGCGCGGCCGCGGCCCACGTCCGAGGCGATGTGACGCAGGGAGCAGAAGCGCTGCAGCTCGTGCTTGTTGAGGACTTCCTTCACGTAGAACCAGAAGACGGGCTCTGCGGAGGCAGCGGGACAGGTATCACGTTCAGAGTACGGTTCCCTGAGCATCTTGGAGGATGGTACGAGAGTTACTGCCCCCGCAGGGAAAAGGAAGACACTGAAGAACATACCGGAAATAGACATGACCCCCCGAATCTACCATCCAGAGGCGGCCACTGTTAACATGTTCAAGTATTTCCTTCCAGTCTTTTTTCCTGTACTTTTCTTTCTTATACGGAATTGACATCTGTGATAGGCTGGATTATAACCCCCAAGATAACCATGTCTTAGTCCCTGCAACCTGTGAATTTTAGCTTCTGTGGCAAAAAGGACTTTGCAGATGTGATTCAATTAAGGATCTTGGGAGGAAGAGATGATTCTGGGTAGTCTCTGGGGCTCCAGCTTAATCACAGGTACCTGTACAAGAGGGAGGCAAAGGGGGGTTGGACATAGAAGAGGAGGGGATGACGTGACCAGGGCAGCAGAGGCTAGAACGGCCACAGCCAAGGAATGCCAAAAGCCACCAGAAGCCGGGAGAGACAAGCACAGATTCTGCTCTGAGCCTCCAGAAGGAACCAGCCCTGCTGCCATCGTGACTTTAGCCTAGCAGACTGAACTTTGGACTTCTGCCTTCCATACTGTAAGGAAATTAATTTGTTTTAAGCCACCAAGTTGGTTGTAATTTGTTACAGCAGTCATAAGAAACTAATACACTATCATACTGTCTGTTTTGTGTATATGAGGTATGATCAAAAACTACGGTGAAGGCTGCTGCCGAGTGTCATCCAATGGAAAGGCAGGGATCTTTAATATGGGAAGTGGTGCATCAAACCTTAGTGACAGTGTGTGACAAGTTTCAACGTGTTCGGTGCAGTAAGTCGGGTGTGAGCTGCAGTTGAGAGAAAGTGTGCTTTAAATTGTGCCGTACGTAAATCATGGATCACGAACAACATATTAACATGAAATGGCAAACAGTTTCATCCTCCAGCATAACAATGCTCCGTGTCACACATCGCTTCTGGTACAGCAATTTCTGTCAAATAAAAACATTACGGTGTGTCCTCATCCCCCTTATTCACCGGATCTGGCACCGTGCAACTTCTGGCTCTTCCCCAAAGTCAAAATGACCATGAAAGGCAGACATTTTGAATCGATTCAGGACATTGAGGCAGCCACAACAGCGCAACTAAAGACACTCACAAAAGAGGACTTCCAGAACTGCTTCAGAAAGTGGTAAGAACGATGGGATAAGTGTGTTTTAAGTGAGGGAGGGTCTGTTGAGGGGGATTAATGGCAATGTGTCTTTTACTGTAATAAGTTTTTTTAAATTGAAACATTCCTGTATTTTTTATACTTCATATACATGTGTATATATCTTTTCATACATATATATATAAATATATATGTACACACACATATGTATAATTTTGTACCCTGGTTTGTTTCTTTTCTTGTCTAAATCATAAACGTTTTCCTGCAACATTTAAACACTTTTGGAAACATGATTTTTGATGGCTTCCCACTTAAACATAATTTAACTATTTCTCTACTGCTGGGAACATGATATATGGCCAATTTTCCCTACATACTGCTTTGCACATCCTTGTACATAATTAATTGTCCTCATTTGTAGTTCCTTAGGAGAGATTTCCACAGATTTGAGAATAGGAACAGATTTAAAGCTTTAAGGGAAAGCTGAGAAAGTTTGTTTTTACCCATAAAACAGTCATTTTATCTCCTCACATCCTGCCTTTTTTATCCACATCCGTACAGATCTTTTTCATATTTGTAATTCTAGTGTCTACATAATTTTGTGATCAATTTTCTGGACTTAACACTGGCTCATCCACACCTTTTCATGCCACCAATGATAGTAACAGTAACAATGGTAAGAGCTGACATTATTTATAATAACTACAAACCAGCCACTGCACTAAACACTGACCTCAGTCCTCACAATGGCCAAGGCCGCCTCCATGTCCGGGACAAGGTCCGAGGCCTGCACAAGGGGAGAACCTCACCCAGTGATACGCATTCAGGAAGCGCTACAGCAGAATGGGGCCTAGAGCTGTCTACCTGCAAACCACAAAGTCACATGGTCTTGTGAAGTGAGCGGGCATCTGCCTTCTTTCAAATGATCATGTATGTTCACAACTGCTTAATATCCCAAAGGAAAACGTGCTGAGAATGCTGCCATACAGGATTCTCATCCAGGAGCTAACCAGGCTCCTAGGCCCCTCTGAGAATGTGACCCTCCAGAGGATGCACATACACACATCTCCATAACTGGATACCAGGTCAACAAGTTCACTGTAACGTTTCAGCCCAGCTAGCCTTGACTACATTCTAACTGGGCGTCATGAACTGGGCAAGACTACGGGCTACTAGGCAGAGACAAGAAGGACTTATCCCTTCCAAGACTCCAGTCTAGCGGGCAGCACAGCAGGTGAAGAAATCATTCAATGGAATGACCCCAGGCAGGTCACTCAACCATGCTAAGTTTTGGATTCTTCTCCCTTAACATAAGCCCCAAAGTGCAGAATCACCTGAGTTATTGGGGGTTGTAAATGGAGAAAAGGGGAGCAGAGCACTGAGCTGCTCAGCCCACACTGACCAACCATGATTTACTTATTAATCACCTTCTTATGCGAGAGCATCTGTGTTGTTTCATCTTATCATTTTTCTGTTAACAGCATCTGAGTGTACAAAGGGTGCTAAAAAATGTATGCACATTATAAGAAAGGAAAAAACGGTAGAAAAATTGTAATATTTAATATATACTGATAACAAAAGATGAATGCAAGTCACGTTTGACTTCTGCAATAACAAGAGGTGCTCAAAGTGGTTCCCATCAGCGTGCAGACACTTCTGATTACAGCGAGTACTGTTTGGTAGACTTCTGTGGCAAGTGTGTAAACTGTTCCAACACCACTGCAAAAGAAGCAGGACTTGCTGTGTGAGGCCTCCCGGATCTTCCCGTGTGCACATCACACACAGCACCATGCTCTCAAACTTATCACGAAGGCGTGCAATTGTTAGGCTTGTTGCATACTCACGCCTCCACTGTCGTACTTCTACAACGTTCTCAAATTTCAAACACCACTTCAAAATGGTTTTATGCTCCTCAAACGACCACCGTGCTTCCGCCATTTTCTTTGACTGTCCTGCCTGTCACATGGTGACACTAGCATTCATTTGATTAACGCCATCTTTTGAGCGAACATCATACTATACATTGCTATGTAATTCAATTCAACTTCGAAAAGTAATACATAGATAACATCTCTTAAAATGTGTACACATTTTTTGGGCACCCCCAGTATATGTACATATGAGTGTGAGTACGTATGCGTGCATCATGCCAACCCCCAGGACATTTTACAATTAACCTCCCAGGAATGGCTGAGAAAACCAGCAACAGGGCAGTTTGCTCAGGACAACCTTCTGTCTCAATGCCTAAATGCCAAACTAATGCAAAACTAATGAGATCAGCCCAAACCACACAAGTGCTTAATAGCCTTCTTTCCACTTGAAGCGTCTCTCAGAAACCAGGTCGGGGGAGTTTGGTGAGAAAGTTGCCCTGGGCAGGCCAGCCAACCACCTGTTTTGAAAAACCCTAGACGAACATCTGTACTATCCATCACAATTCCAACCAGGTGACTCTCACCCGCATCCTGTCTTCCTTGAAAACTGCAGTCACCTCCCTCTGACCTTGACTACACATGAAACGCTCTAAGGTGTGTTTTCACCTTTCAATTCCGCCAATTGCTTACTGCTACCAAATCCTTCTGAAGCCTGCCAGAGCGATGCTGACGATGATAAGAATTATCCCAGCAGGATGCCGCTTCCACTGCCAGAATTAATGTGATCTATTTAAAGTGCAGCTCACCTGCCACTTAACACTTGCAGTGTCCGTAATTTAATTTGGGAATGTACGCCGATCTCTTACTGCTTTGAAACAAGGGGCTAATTCAAAGAGCGGGCGAGGGCTTCTGGCTCTCCCAGCCCCTGAAAGCCATCTGCCAACAGGAACTAGAGCCAGGAAAGGGGGTACTGAGGCGAGTGACCTGGAGCCCCTCATTAACAGAGGCTGACAAATAGCACAGGACTTGGCAAAGTTTCTAACGGGCCTCAACTTAATTGATGCCAAGAATTCATATTTTGGAGGCCAAAGAGGACCAAAGCCTTGGCTCAAATTCTAGTTCAGATGGTGTGACCTTGGACAACTTATTTTGTCCTTTGCCTTCTTCCTTGGTAAAATGGGGTTTGCTGTGAGGGAAAAATTAGAAAATGAAGCATACGTGTAAAGGCTTGGTGCCAAGGCACCGAGGCAGACAAACAGCAACCCTCCCACTTTCTTCTGGAAGTCACACCCCTCTTTCCTAGGGGAACCATGTCCCATTTGAAGTTGCCTCCAGCACAACCAACCTTCCTTCCCACAGGGCTGGGCAGGTAACGCAGGCTGGGTGCTCACCTGGCCACAGCAGGGCATGTGTCCCAACTCGCCTCACTTGCCTCACCCTCATCCTGGTCCTGTTTGATATTTTGTGCATCATGAATTTTTTCTGTTTTCATCTTGATTTTTTTTTAATACTGCGTGAAAATATCATGTGCCTTGATTGCTGAGTTTTTTGGTGCTCCCATACATTTTGTGGCTGAAGTGAGTGCTTCACTGACCTCATCCAAGTCCCACAACTTGTGCCTGATCCACTAGGAAAGACCCACTGTGTCCTTCTAGAACTGAAGTCAGCAAACAATGGCCCCAGGGCCAAATGCTGCCCTCCACCTGTTTTTGTAAGTAAAGTTTTATTGGAACACGGGCACGCCCGTTTGTTTACATAGCGTCTGTGGCTGCTTTCCTGATACAATGGCAGACCTAGGGAGTTGGGACAGAGACCTACGGCCTAAAATTCTTAGTATCTGATCCCTTAAGGAAGAAGTTTGCCAACTGCTATTTTAGAAGTAGGAGCTCAATAATCGTGTAATCCTGTAGAGCGAGCCCACCTAAGAAAGATAC